CATTTCTTTGAAGAATGTCATGGGTATCCTAATAGGGATAGTGTTGAATTTGTACAGTGCTTTGGGAAGCCTAGCCATTTTGACAATGTTAATTCTCCCGTTCCATAAACAGGGGATATTTTTCCACTTCCTCGTGTCCTCTATTATTTCCTGAAGTAGCGTTTTTTAGTTTTCTTTGTACAGGTCCTTTACTTCCTTAGTTAAGCTGATTCCTAGGTACTTGATTTTCTGGGGTACAATTGTGAACGGGAATGTTTTCTCCATATCACTTTCTTCTCTTTCACTATTTGCGTATAGGAAAGCCATGGACTTTTCAGTATTGATTTTATAGCCTGCAACTTTACTAAACAAGTCTGTTGTTTCTAGGAGTTTCTTGGTAGAGGTTTTAGCGTTCTCTAAGTATAGTATCATATCATCTGCAAATGGTGAGAGCTTGATTTCTTCCTTTCCTACTTGGATGCCCTTAATATATTTTTCTTGCCTAATTTCTATTGTAAGTACTTCCAGTACTATATTGAACAGTATTGGAGAGAGTGGGCATCCTTATCTCGTCCCTGATCTGAAGGGAAGGCTCTCAGTTTTTCCCCATTGAGGATAATATTTGCTGTAGACTTGTGATAGAAGCTTTAACTTTATTGAGGAAAGTCCCCTCTATCCCCAATTTGGTGAGGCTTTTCATCATAAACGGGTGCTGGATTTTGTCAAATGCTTTCTCTGCATCTATTAATATGATCATATGATTTTTATCCTTTCTTTTGTTGATATGATGGATTATGTTGATTGATTTCCAAGTGTTAAACCATCCTTGCATCCCCGGGATGAATCCCACTTGGTAATGGTGTATGATATTTTTGATGAGTAGTTGAATTCTGTTTGCTAGTATTTTGTTGAAAATCTGCACAAGAAAAGCTCCTCACCTGCTTTACTTTATCTCCAGCCCCACATTTGAGTTTTAGACATACTATGTTCCAGTTCCAGAACTTATGTCTTCTTCCTTCAACCAGATTACCAGGTTCTCTCCCATTCCCATTCCCTCCCCAGTCCCCAGCGTGCTACCTTGACAGGCACCCCATCCTGCTACTTTGACAGGCACCCCAGCCTTCTGCCTTGACAGGCACCCCAGCCTTCTGCCTTGACAGACACATTTTAAAGTTTGGTTGAAGTTTCAATATCTTATTTTCATTGTTGTTGACTCATTGATTTGAATATTATCTATACCACTTCTTTACACCACTGATGTACTCAGATCCCCTTGACCCCTGTTCCCCATTGATTTCCATGTATTTTTCTCCACTCAGTTTCTTTATTCCCTGGCCTTCTCCCTATACTCGGGTTAAGGGTAATCTAGTTAAAGGCATTCCCCCTTTATTACATTTTACTACCTTGTACAGTTTTTCTATATTCCACATATCAGATTATCCTATATTTGTTCTTCCGAATTACTTCTTTTAACATGACATCTTCCAGTTCCATCCATATTGCAGCAAATTGGATTATTTCATCTTTCACTTTAGCTGCATAATTTTACATTGTTTATGGTATACATATTTTCATTGATAAGTATTGCTAAAATTGTTTGTCATCCGATATGGTTATAGCATTTTTTGTTACCAAAAAGAAGTCATGAAAGTCCTATTTTTCCCGCCTTGTAACAACACTGGGCTGTTTATTGTTGATTCTTTAAATTCTAGTTAGGTAAATTAGATTTTTTTTTGCTTTTTGGGGCACACCCAGCGATGCACAGGGGTTACTCCTGGTTCATGCACTCAGAAATCACTCCTGGCGGTGCTTAGGGGATTATATCGGATGCTGGGAATCAAACCCGTGTCAGGCCATGTGCAAGGCAAACGCCCTACCCGCTCTGCTATCATTCCAACCCCGATATTTTTTTAAAATAAGGGACTTAGAGATAATACAGTTTCCCTTATATCTTGCCTTACACCTGACTGGTTCAAATTCAATTCCTGGCACCCCATTTGGTGTCCCTAGCCCTACCAGGAATGGTCCCGGTGTGCAGAGTCAGAAGTAAACCCTGAGCACAGCCAGGTATGACCCAACCCACCAAAAACCCCTAATTGCTGGGGTCTGAATAGCAAATAGAGCAAGTAGGAACTTTCTTTGCATGCAGCCTACCCAAGTTCAGTGCCCGGTACTCACATGACCTACTGATCCCTACCAGGAGTGATTCCTGAGTACCGAGCCAGGAGTAAGTCCTGAGTACCCCTGGGAGTGGTCCCGCCTCATAAAATAACAAAGGCAAATCAAAAAGTTGTGTTTTTCTAATTGATAATGAAGTTCTGTGCATCATCTCATATTTGTTAGCTGCTTGAATTCTCACCTCTTTGAAGTAGCCTTTCCATCTTCTTTCCCCCTTTTCCTATAAATTTGTTTCTTCATTTTCTTCTTTTTTCTTCTGTTTTGGGGGTACACCCTGAAGTGCCCAAGGATCTCTCCTGGTTTTACACTCAGGAATCATTCCTGGCAGTCCTGGGGTGCCATGGATTGAATCCAGTTCAGCCACATGCAAGGCATGTGAACCACCTGCTGTACTGTCTCTCCACCTACCTATAAGGTTGTTTCTTTTTATCTTATCAATTTTTCTGGTTCATTTTTTGGTTACACCTGGAAGTGTTAAGTGGTTTCTCCTGGTTAAATGTTCAAGAATGTGTTCTGGCAAGGATTCATGAACCATATACTGCCGGCTATTAAACTTGGAGCTCCTGCAATGAAAGTATGTATACTCGGGACTGGAGCAATAGCACAGCGGGTAGGGCGTTTGCCTTGCACGCAGCCGACCCGGGTTCGATTCCCAGCATCCCATATGGTCCCCTGAGCACCACCAGGGGTAATTCCTGAGCACAGAGCTAGGAGTAACACCTGTGCATTGCCGGGTGTGACCCAAAATTTTTTTAAAAATGTATGTATACTTTAGTCTCTGGGCTCTTATTTGTTAATTTTAGGAACTTTTTATATATTTGGGATATGAATATTTTCTTCCTCTTTATATTTTAAGCATACAACTAATAAAAGGTTTGAGGGGCTGGAACAATAGCACAGTGGGTAGGGTGTTTGCCTTGCACACGACAGACCCGGGTTCAATTCCCAGCATCCCATATGGTCCCCCGAGCACCGCCAGAAGTAAGTCCTGAGTGCATGAGCTAGGAGTAACCCCTGTGCATCTCTGGGGGTGACCCAAAAAGCAAAAAAAAGGTTAATATTTATGAGTTCAAAAAAATGTGGGTGTGTGCCACATACGTTCGGTGGACATAAGCTGCTTCCCAATCCTGCCTGCTGCTGATGCCAGACACATGAAGGAGGAAATAGGGCGGACATGCTGGTTGGTGATTAATCGCCATTTATTTCCATCTCTGTCCTGTTCTAGTCTCACACTGTTCTTCATTCCAGTCTCTTCCTGTTCTAGTCTCAAGTCTCACTGTGTTATAGAGAAATCATTAAGCGTTGAGGGTAGCAATTCCACATAGGTGTGGTTGTACAATCAATAGATGTAAAGCTTCAGGGAAAGCTTCTTCTAGGACAAATTCTCATCCTGCAAGGAGATCCTCCAAAGGGCAGAATACCATCTAGAGGCACATTTCTCCTTTCCGTAGTCCATATCCATCTGAACAGTCATCTTAAATTTGCTTCTTAATAATATTCGTCGTTTTGTATGGACACAATAGGAGATATATATTAAGCTTAAAGAGTGCCTCTCCTGGGTACATCTTGCTATAGATTCCAGACTACAGTCCTCCAGCCAGGTTAGTCTTTCCTAACCCCAGCAGGGTCTTTATCCAGTTACTTCTTTTTTGGTCATGACAAGAGTCCATGACCGTGCTCTTAACTTACTATAAACTTTATGGTGGTTCGCCTCTCCCTTTTCAATGCCAAGGTAGCTCACAGCTTGACATGGGTCCATCCAAATCCCTTTTTAGGAACCCACCTTTTGGAGTGCTAAAAACCAAGAGTAACTGAGGCTTAGGTCAAGTAAATATGACAGGTGCCCAGGAGTAAATATTATTCAGAGTCAAATAACTCCCAAGTTACAAAAACATAGGATTAACTGCCTTTCTGTGACTATACTAAAAGGACATTGTTCTAAATTATGCAAAGGACAAAAAGGAAAGAGAAAAGCAATATTTCACTTGCATATACTAAATCCACATACTAAATCCAGAATCCTAGAAGAATATCACTTTACAAATCATAGGGTCTAATTTGGGGATATAAGTGATTAACAGATAGGGGGAGCAGGGCACAGAGGAGAATTTAGAGATAAACACAGAGGAATTGGAGTGCCTCTGGAGCACTGTGATGGGTGTAACTCAATAAACCTAAGATTCCTGTGGAAGGTGGAAAGGGCAAACCAAAGTTAACCAACAAATACTGGTTGAGGTTGTAGCTCATTGGTAGAAAACATGTTTTTCATGTATGAAGCTCTGGATTTGAATCCAATAACAAAATGTTATCCAAAAATTTCAATATTATTAATACTTAATTACTTAAAAATTTGCTTTATTATCTTGCATTATGTGGGTTTTTAGGAATATATTTACAAATTCTTCATATTGATTAGTTAAACGTTATTTTCTTAAGGAGACATTTCCCTGGCCTGGGTTCACTGCAATATCCCCGAAGTGCTTCCAGGAGTAGCTCCTGAATACTTCCAAGTGTGGCCCCAAAACAAAAACACAAAGAAAAGAAAACATTTCTCAGGATCAGGGAAATAGTCAGAGGGTTACTGCACTTTAGGAGAGCGCATGTTTGATCCCCTGCACCACATGGTACCACAGTACTTGCTAAGTTCTACCCCTGGACACTGAGTTAGATTTGCTAAATATACACTCCTCTAAAGGAGATGTGTTTCCTATACTAATATTTTGAAAATATCGTTTCCAAATTTTTAGTCTAAATTCTTTGTCAAACTACTTGTACTATTGTAGCTTTTAGACTGGTATGTGGTGTGAATGGCTTTAAAATATTTCTGTATGCTTTTTATTCAGACACATTCAGGAGGTCGTAAATCTTCAGTCGCAGCAGAATAAGGAGCTGCAGGAGCTGTATGAACGTCTTCGGGCAATTAAAGATAGCAAATCCCAATCATCAGAGGGTCCTCTGCCACCAGCATCACCACGTAGACCAAGATCTTTCAAAAGTAAACTTCGAAGCCGCCCCCTGTCTTTGACACATGTAGACAGTAGTACAATTGCTGCAGGTAACTCAGTCACACAAATGACTCATTAAACTGGTTAGATATCAGCTAAATTTGAAAGACAATAGTATTTTTATTAAGCTAAATTATGGTTTAAATTTACTGCATGTCATGAATGTTCTAAGATTCTTTTTTTTTCATTTTTGTTCTTCAAATGCTCTGTTCAATCATAATGTTGATAGCAGATAATAGTTTTTGTAGAGCAAATAAGTTTGTTTTACATTTTCGTTTGAAAAACGAATACCCAGAAGCCCAGTTTCAATCCCCTAAATAGACATAATGGGAAATTCTGGTCTAGTATTTAGAGTTCTTTGCTAACAAAGATAATCTTATTTTTTTATTCCTTCCTTCTTATTTATTTATTTACCTCCCTTCATTATTGTTGAGACTGGGAGTTGCACACAGACTTTATGGTGGTGCTTGTCAGGACGTCCACACCCTAGTTGTGTTGCTTCCAGTGGGTCACTCTTCGTTTGCTATGGTGTTTCTTTTTTTTATATTACTAACAGATACTGGAGGATACATAGCATACCCACTGCCACATGGAGAGGGCACAGAGGTAGGGTAAGTGAAAAGGTGGAAGATGGGGAAAGGAGTTAGCGAACCTAGATTTTGACTTTATTGGTATTGAGCACGGAAAGTCTTTCGGGTTTGGGTGGGATAACTCACTAGTAAATTTTAAAAATTAGAGCTGGTGTTAATGTGCAAGGAGGGACTCAATACATAGCTCAAATGGAGAAGCACCTTCTTCGCATATGCAAGATCCTACATTCTATCCCTTCTACTGTATGATTTCCCCCAGATCTGCTTTGTGTAGCCCTGGTAGGCCCCAGGACCACTGTGTTTTAGTCCCAAACCATGGATTAGTTTGTAATACTAGACTTAGTATTAAGGGAGTAACTCCAGGCCCCTGAGCACCCATGGGGTAGACCCCCACCAAAAAAAATGCTGGCAGGGAGAAAAGCAGTGTTCCTTAAGTATGGTTCACTCAGATGATCAGTTATCTTGGTAAACCTGAATTTTATTAAAGGGGAACTTCTTGAATAGTACAGAATGGACTCTTTAGCTATATAGCTGTCAATGTATTTATTTCAAATAAAAATCCGAATGGAGTGGTGCCATGGCAATTAAAAACTTAATGTCAAGCAGTTGCATAACAATAAAAATATAAGTATCATCACTTAACACTACATCTTCCAATCATCCATAGAAGTATGGGATTTCGTTTTTTAAATGTGGCTTTTCAGACTGACTTGTTTGAATCAGAACACTATCTTGTCATTATTCATTTTTTATGTTGTATAGTCATGTGACTCTTAGCAAAGGATATGATATGATCTAAGAAATGCATTATTGTGCAAACTCAGCTTTAGCAGTACATTTTACACACTTGGGGCCATTATAAACTAAAACATCATGAAACTAAGTAAAGGCCCCAGGCCCTCCCATTGATCATCGATTTGCTCTAGCGGGCCCAGTAACGTCTCCATTGGAGACTTTGTTGTTACTGTGTTTGGCATATCGAATACGTCACGGGGAGCTTGCCAGGCTCTGCCGTGCATGTGATAGCACAGCGGTAGGGCGTTTGCCTTGCACGCAGCCAACATGGCCGATCCGAGTTCAATTCTTCCGCCCCTCTTGGAGAGCCTGGCAAGCTACCGAGAGTATCTCGCCCACATGCCAAACACAGTAACAGCAGAGTCTCCAATGGAGACGTTACTGGGCCTGCTCGAGCAAATCCATGATCAACAGGAGGGCCTTTACATGAAACTAAGACAAAGGAAAATTTTAGTATCAAGAAACATGATAAAGAAGATGATTTTAAGCTGTTATAAAAAGGCTATGATGCTATGATGCTATGACAACTATGTGGTCTGTTGGCAATGGAAATTTTGTGACTTCCATAGTTTGTGTTTCATAATTGACCAGTATGAATAGTACAAGTGTGGGCTGGAGCGGTAGCACAGCGGGTCGGGCATTTGCCTTGCACATGACCAACCGGGGTTTGATTCCGCCACCACTCTTGGAGAGCCCAGAAAACTACTAAGAATATCCCACCCACACGGCAGAGCCTGGCAAGCTCCCCGTGGCGTATTCGATATGTCACAAACAGTAACAACAAGTCTCACAATGGAGACGTTACTGGTGCCCACTCTAGCAAATCGATGAACAGTGAGGAGGGGAGGACAGTGCTACAGTATAAGTGTACCAGAAGTTTGTTAAGTTACCTATTGAAGGACTGTGTTCAGAGTTGAGTTTAACAAATAAAACTTCTGTAAATATTTATGTACAGATTTATAAAATTTTATTTTATTTTGGTTTGGGGGCCACACCCAGCTGTGCTCAGAACTTATTCTGCTCAGGGGAAACTTGTGGTGAGGCTCAGAGGACCATATGGGATGCTAGAGCTTAAAACCGGGTCCTCTGCAGGCAAGGCAAGGACTCTACCATATCTCCCTGACCCCTACAGCTTATTTTTGGTGAATGTAAGTATTGAGTTTACTTGGGTAACAAACCCGGAAGTAAGATTGTTGTGTCATATGGTATGTGCATTTTAAAATGTAAGGAACTACCAGAATATTTTGCCAAATATATCATTTTCTACTTACATGAGCAATCTATGAATCTTTCTGAATGCTCTGAATGCTCTTTGTCACCTGATATTGGTATTTTATTTTAGCCCAGCTAAAAGGTATATGGTAGTATAATGTCATGATTTAATTTTATTCTTCTAATTTTTTGAGTTTTTAAACATTTTTATGCTTATTTATAAAATGCTTATTCAAGTAGCTTACCTTTTGAAATTCTGTTTCATTTGTAGTTAAATTTTGGAAATGGTAATCAAAGAAATTTAATTAAGACATTAATGTAATTGAAGAAATAACAGAAAGATCCTATGTATTTTTCCCTCTTGACCCAAAAGGTAACATTCTTTATCTTTTAAAAAGATAAGTGGTGAGTTTCGTGTGGTTGAGCTTTTCAAGTTATTTTTCTATATTTTATAAAAATATTGTATAGAATGTGCGGGAGTATGGTGCCACCAGCAGGTCAGTCTGTACCTGTGAGGCGAGTGCATCAGCAGCCTGATGTCACTGTCAGATTTTTCAGATACCCCAAAATTGGTGCTGTGCCTTTGGCCAGACCCCTAAAACTTGGGACAAAGTTTACCAAGAAAGTAAATGGTCAAAAGTTAGGTATGGTTTTCAAGAGAGGCATTGAGTGGCAATCATGTTTGGTCTATAGTCTACTTTTAGCACGCTTCTCCCATCCTGGGAGGATCCTCCCAACGCCCTTTATTTGTTGCTCCCTTCTCTATCTGAGCTTCCTTTTTCCCTAGCACATGTGGCTGGCCTTCAAGTCATGGAGAAAAATTCCTGATACTAATCTCGGCCATTCCTGGTGGTGGAGGATGGGCGCTGGTAGAGGGATGGGTACTTGATCATTGTATAACTGAAACCCAAGCACAAAAATTTGTAAGTGTATAATTGTACCTCATGGTGTTTCACTAATAAAAAAATTTTTAAAAAGGTATGTGGGAGACACACCCACAAACTACCTCCGGCTCAGCTATATAATTGGAGGCATGGCCTCTCTGGTTCCTGATCAAACTGCTTAATGGCCATGATCCCAGAGACTCAGAAACGAATCTCGGAACCCAAAGACTTTTGGCAGAAATGCATCTGGACCGCATACAAGGTGGCCGCTGCCTCAGAGCTTATTGAAAAACCAGGTATGAGCCGGTGGTGACTGGGCAACTGCAGTCCGATGGGAAGGTGGGGCAGTACCGGCTCGTCCTTCATGCCCTACCGAGGTCACGAGTTGCCCCCCACAAGTGGCTCTTTGGCATGGTCATGGCTCCAGAGGCAAAAGGATTTAATTCAGAGCCCGGCAGCTTGCGGCAGAAAAGTGAATGGACCATTTGTTAAACTACAGCGCCATGCCTCCCAGGGAGGGAAAGGTGTTGCTCCTTTCTGCCTTTATCCCCCTTGGCAGCAAGGTGGCCACCGCCTCAGAGCTTATAGAAAAGCCAGGTACGAGCTGACGGTGACAGGGCAACTGCAGTCTCATGAGAAGGGGGTCGGTACTGGCTTGTCCTTCATGCCCTACCAAGGTAATGAGTTGCCCCCCACGAGCGGCTATCTGGCACAGCCATAATACCAGAAGTACTGAGACCAATCTCGTAATTATCTGGCTCTTTGCAGAAATCCAAAATCGCGAAGCCGCTATTGTGGCCACACGAGATTATATGATTCTCATAACCAGCTATAGAAAACATAGTATTTCACAATGCCTTTTCAGCAATTCTGATTGTTGGGGGGGAATTCTAAACAATAATGGTGCATCTTTTGTCATAATAATGAATGTAATCAATGTAGAGAAGAGTTAAGTGGAAATCATCTGCCTAACAGGCATTGGGAGGGGTTGGAAGGGGGTATATTGGGGTTCTTGGTGGTGAAAACTGAGTACTGGTGAAGGGAGAGGTGTTTGATCATTGTATAACCGAGACTTAAACCTGAAAGCTTAGTAACTTTTCCCACAGTGATTCAATAAATAAATATAAGAAGAAAAATAAATAAAATTATGAAAAAAAGTAATGTGGAGTTCATGCCAGATTCAATCAGCTAATCAGTGGCTGAATAAATAGCAGTACTCCTTCATAAAAAATGTTGTATAGAATGTATGACTTACCAATATACTCTACTAATTGATAGCATCTCTTTATATATTTATTTATTTATTTTTTGGGGAGACAGACTCAGCAATGATCAGGGCTTACTCCTGGCTTTGTGCACAAGGATAATTTCTGGAAGCTCTCAGGGATCCATGTAGACGCCCATTAATTGAACCCAGGATGGCCATGTGCAAGTAATGTGCAGTCAGCCCACTGTACTATCTCTTGGCCCCTTCTTTGATTATTTTTAAAAATACTTATTCTCAGAACGTCGCAAACTCATCATTCCAAAGAATAGAAAACAGAATTTTCACTCAGTGGCATAAAAATA